CAAAGCAAACACGGAGTTCTACAGATTAGATGACTGCAATTCATTGGGAACATTTGGAGCTTTTAAATAAAGTACTCTTATTGGAGCCTAAACCCAGAAAACGGAAGAGAAGGAAACCAACCAAAATTTTCTTAGAGTGAAAAGACTAAAAAAACACAAGTGTAATGTTATTACCATTTCAGATTTTTAGCACTGGTCTTGTTGCAACATGGAAAGAACACAAAAGAAACAGAGTTCTATGGAAAACTGCAAAGTGTGATGAAATTGCTACCGATCAGATCACTGTATGTTGTGAGGATGGAAATAAACAGCAAGATGGTCAAACACCAAATGACAAAAAATGGCTTCCAAGTTGAAGGATCTGTGAATTCTTCTGGTTAATAAATAAATCCTTTGAAAATAGATATTTAACTTTTGTCACCCAATTGTCCAACCAACAATTAAAAAAATATGCTTCATGTTCCCTTTGATGTATTTACATAAGGTCTCTAGATAGATGGACAAAATCAAGACAGACAAGAGATGGATACATGTGACAACAATTCACAATGGCACAGCTTCAAATAAATTCCCTTACTCATTCACCCATCTTCCTCAACAAGCCATGTGACACACACCTGTCTTCCTCACCAAGCTACAACACTCACCTGTCTTCCTCACAATGCTACATGACACACACTTCCTCACAATGCTACGTGCGCACTTCCTTGCCAAGCTACGTGACACTTGCACACTTCCTCGCCAAGCTACGTGACACTTACACACTTCCTCACCAAGAAGCTATGTGGCACTTATACTTTCCTCCTCACTTTCTTCCCCCAAGCCTCTTTTTCTCAAGCTTGTACACTTCTCGCCAAGCTTTGTGACAAAAAGAAATGTGGCAGATTTCTTTTTCTCCCCTGCCTCTTTTTTCTCACTTGTACACACAAAGAAATCAGATTTCTTTTCAGCATCACAAACAAGTACAAACAAGGGCTGTAAGAACTCATACACACTAAGAAAAATTTAGTTGTAAAAAACATGAAAATAAAAATATTTTATATTTTTATACTTAAAAAACTTTCTCATCTTTTTCTTTGTTGTGGGTTCAACTGCAATTCCTTGATTAAATTTGGAGGAGGAGGAAGAAAAAAGAGCTGTTAAATAAAGTACGCTTGTGGGACTCTAAACACAGAAAATGGATGAGAGATTAGACATATGCAGATCAGCTAAGACACAATATTGGATTGAGGAGGGGGGAGATTTAATGAAGGATGGGAGAAACTATTGGGTCTCTTGGAAAGATCTTTCTATTTTTAGATTTAATAAAGTGCTTATCTATCTTTGTTATTTTTACTGTCTTATTACATTGATAATGGAGAATAGCACTGAAATTTGACTGAATTTTACTTTTTTCAGATTCCCAAACTTCAAGCCTCAAAACAAAGATGAGTATCAGGAGGATAAACTTCTACTCCTTTTCAAATCATGTATGAGGATTCATAGGGCTATACTTGGTGCATCATGGAAAGAACACAAACAAGGAGTTCTATGAAAAACAAAGTGTGACTGAATCACTATGGATTAGAAGATTGCTGATCATTGGGATTGTTTGGAGGGGGAAAGAGCTTTTAAGTACTCTTTTGATAATCAATATGTGTACGGATAGCTTTCACTTTTGATAAGTTGACAAGTTAACCTACAAGAGTGTGTTGTGATAATATGACTAATATAAGAATTTTTTTTTTTTATTATTATTAATGTTGAAGATATCACTCAAGAATTTATAAATAACATTGTTTTTATGTGAGAGGGAATTCTGAGCTCTCATGTTGGTGGTAAGGATCAGAACACAGGTTTTAAATTTTTTTAATTTTAGAATTTAACCCCCACCCCTCCAAAAAAATGCAACTTTTACAAACTAAAGATTACAATTATGGACATATTGGTGAGTTCTTTCCTTTTGAATGAAGACAAAAATGTTAAAAGAATAATATAAAAAGATGGATAAAACATATTTAACAATTTTTACAAAAGAAATTTTTTTTTTTTTAGTAATTAACAATTTATTAATTATTACTAGCAATACAGACAGGATAATGTTTTCAGATAGGATTTAATAAAATACTTATCTGTATTTGTTATTTTATTATCTTATTGTATTGATAATGAAATACCACTGAAATGTACTGAGCATGATAATAAATTACATCTGGTAGTAAGAGGATTTGAGGAGGGTGCAACCACCTTTTGTTCCCATATCCAGTCTGACACAGGGTGGTAGCACCAGTTCGGGTGCTGGCTATGGGTAAATAGTTAAACCCCAAACTGAGGGCAAAACACTATGAAAATGTAAGAAATTTTATAGTAAAAATACCAGAAATACATTTTCAGACTAAAAAAATTATTAGCAATACATTTCTGTAAGGAAAAAAAATATTATCAGCAGCACATTTTTGTCTAAGAAATTACTAACTCTCCCAAGAATTAAATGTCAGCATTTAAATGACCCATAAGGTGTTGATATGCCACTAAACAAAATTACAGAAAACTTGACTGAATTTTACTTTTTTTCAGATAAATAAAAGGAAGATAAACATCTACTCCTATTCAAAAGACTGGGGAGGAATGAGAACCGGGCGATAAATGAACCTTTCTCTTCCTATTAAGGTAACTAAATAATAAGTAAAATTTCTAAGTTTAGGTGGAGATGTTAGAAGTATAGAGTTGAAGTATACTTGAAAATGAACCGGAAACAAAGGCTAAACCTCCTCTTCTGTTCAAAAGGCTGTGGAGGGTATGAACCGGGCGATAGGCAAACCTATCTGCTCCTTTTGAGGAAGAAAAAAGTAACTAAATGATAAATAAAAGTTTATATGGAGATGTTAGAAGTATAGAGCTGAAACAGAGCTTTGAAGGAACCAGAAATCCAATCTTAAAATGCAAATAAGGGATAAACCTCTACTCCAGTTCAAAAGGCTGGGGTGGAGTGTGAACCGGACGATAGGTGAATCTGTCTATTCCTAATGTGTTTTCAGAATTCTATGTCCCATTTTACATTATCTTCAAAAGAAATGGCAGACATTTAATAAAAAGAAAAAGATGGTTCAACTACCTTTGCTATGTCCACCAATTCTTACATAATAAAATCTTACACTATGTATTGAAAGAACACCGAGGCCTATTATTGAAAGAATCATTCTTCATAAGTAACACAATGGATTTAATTAAGGGGTTTTAAACTAATTAGTCAGTAAAATTAAACTAAGTGAAAATCAAGTTAATCAAAGATTTTAGTTATAGAACTTGTAAAATTAAGAATAATTTATAAAAAAAAACACTCTGAAAGAAATAATTAACAAGAATTATTTATTTTAGCTGTTTAAATTTTATTTTCAAAATAATTTCATCCTCTGTATATTTTTCCCAGAATTCCCTGTACAAAAGATATACATACATTCGTACACAAAGACACTCTAATCAGTGTATAGATTAATACACAAAGAGTGAGATGATCAAAGGCATTAATCACTTAAAATATATTTGCTAATCTTAAACAATGTGTTCATTAACCATTTTAGTACTGTAGGCTTTGTCACTCCAAGGCAAGCAAGATTATCAATGACTCTGATTAGCAATCAGCTTTAGTTTTCTTTTTGCCGTTTGAAAATTATACAAAAACAAAAGATATATAATTTCGGGATTTTTTTGTTTTTTTTGTTTTTGTTTTTCATCTCCGACAAAGAACAAAACATCTCGACGGCCAACACCATCACCTCACTAAATTATGTCTATTGAAAGTTGTTAACATTTCTGAAAATTACAAGCGATTACATTACAACAATAAAATGTTGTGATTCTTCTTTTTTTGTTGTTTTTCTTTCTTTTTTTTTTAAAACTTGCCTTTATTATTGAAAGGTAGGATTTTTCATCTTTAAAAATTAAGATGAGGAAAATAAAATATTTCTAAAAAGAATAAAAAGTAAAAATTATTTCTTATATGATCTCCCGTGTCAATTTAATCCAAATATTTTTCTTTTTAATTTACTTTGAGCATTATTATTTTATTTTTATTTATTTATTTAATTTATTTATTTACTTTTATATTTGTTTTAATTTTTGTTTAAAATTTTGTTTCTTTTGCCTAAGTTTGTTTATAAGAGAATTATATAAGAATAAAAGTATTTTTTAAAATTTTTTGTGCAAATGAATTCAACAGAAGAATAAAGTAACAAAAACAAACGAGATTTTGCAGTTTTATAGATGTTAGACATTGTATGAAAGTAAAAAAGCTTTTTGCAGTCTGAGTATTCGTTCAGTTTAAGACAAACACGAAATAAAAACGAGATATAAATGAAGAATGAATACAATATTTAGTTTCTATTTTCTTTTTTATTTGTGAATAAACAATAAATAAATTTATACATTATTGACGCTTTTATCGATTAAGAAGAATTATTGTAATATATATGTGCGTGTTTTTAAGTATCTTTTATATACGCAAACTACACATATTGACAATAAGTGCATATATAAGCAAAAATAATTCATTAAAAGTTTTGTCACACTAACAGACTGTTAGTGTGACACACACACACACACACACATAAAGATTCAGTTAGTGACTAACTGAATCTTTGTGTGTGTGTGTGTGTGTGTGTGTGTGTGTGTATTTAGGCATGTTTGATTGAATAAATTACAAACATTATGTCTGCTTATTTTTATCATAATCCTTTCATATTCACAAATATTTTTCTGTATATTACAATTAAATAAGCCAAGAAATGTGGTGTAACAGTGAGAATCACTTTTATTCCCCAAGTACTTTCCTTATATCCGGGTTTGGTCTATTTTATATACATTAACACAGGCTCTAATTTGGGACCAGAGAAAATCTCTCTTATATCCGGGTTTCTCTTATATCCGGGTTACACTGTATAATAAATACATTTGGCTCTTTTTGCGGATTAAGCTTAATATTTTATATTATTAGGATCCAATTGGATTATATAGCAATGGATTTATTTCTCTCTCTCTCTCTCTCGATAGATAGATAGATAGATAGATTTAAAATGTGCCTAAAATGAATGGTTAAAAATGGCAGTAACCAAGTGAAGCCATCTTTCTTAAATCATTGTGAACTGGTGTTACACAATCACAAACAAAGACCTATACCAAGTAACAGAAACCACATCACTTGAGGACTACCAACAGCAGCAACAGCTAAAATGGATAGCACATGTAACTCAAAGAGAAAATAATGACATAATTGAGATGTTGACATTCCTCACAACTTCAATTAAAAGGTTAGGAAGGAAACTCCCATTAATACTGGAAAGAGTGATAGCAGCTACAGGAATTGAGAAACCTATTTTCCCCGGAAAAATTGTTTTAAGAGAAAGATTTTATAAATTTCATTTGAAAGTAGTATTGGCTGTTTGGTCAATGAATGCTGAATGTTTCCTTATAAGGAAATATCTAATATTACCATTAGATATTAGCTGTTTTCTTATAAGGAAATATTTGGCATTCATGGACAAAACAGCTACTGTAGCTACACTTTTCGTCACTCCCTGGCCATCAAGTTGGGAATAAAGAATAGCATTTGTTTAAATCCTTCCTAATGTATAGCTCCCGATATTGTTAACAACTAGTCCTCCGAGGCCCAAGTAATCAATGCAGGTATCCCCCAAGGCTTGTTTCTCAGTCCAAATCAAATTCTTTCTAATATAAATGATCTGCCTTGTTATAATCAGTTTCAGATTTGAATATATTGATTTTGATGATACAATGGTGTACCTCCAAAACTCTAGATGACCAAAGACTAGCTGCTGATCTATTCTCTGACCTAATTCTAACAGGTTTTAAAGTATAACTGACCTGAGGCAGTGATTGATAGATGAATAGATAGATAAAAACAGACTGAGACATAGATTGATAGATAAATAGAAACACACTGATAGATAGATAGATAGATAATAGATAGATAGATAGATAGAATAGGAACACAGATAGATAGATTAGATAGAATGAGATAGATAGAAATATTATAGATAGATAGATAGATAAAGGAACAGACTGAGACACAGATACATTATAGATAGATATATAGATAGATAGATAGATAGGAACAGACTAGATAGATAGATAGATATAGATAGATAGATAGATAGGAAAGTTGAGACACAGATAGATGACTAGATAGATAGATAGATAGAAATAGATAGATAGAACAGACTGAGACACAGATTAGATAAATAAAATATTGAACAGACTGAGACACAGACTATATTTTGACAGATAGATAGATAGATAATAGATAAACTATATGACACAGATAGATAGATAGATAGATGATAGATAGATAGATAGATAGGAAACAGAATATGTGATGCAGATAGATAGACAGGAGCAGACTGAGTCACCGGCAGATAGATATAAATACAGAACAGATAAGAACAGATAGATATATAGACAGATAAGAACAGACTGAAGTACAAATAGATATGAACAGGCTGTGATAGATACAGGTACAATGGCTGAATTGTCATCTAAATTACGCAAAAAGGAAAGTAACACTGGCATCGCATTTTAAATCTATTTTACCTAAATTACACAAAAATATCATTGAAATACTAAGAAGAGTTAATTTATTCAATAAAATCAAACTGTACTAGATTTTTTTTAAGAACTCATTTGACAACTTTGAATCTCCTGCATCTCTTCTGGACAGTCTCCTTGTTTAAATTGGTGAATACTGAATATCCCATGAAATATCTTGAAAACCCCAGATCAGTTCATCTTTGGTGTTACAAGAAGTTTTGATGGTTTCTCACTCAACTGCACCTCCCATATATTCAAGGGTGTTATAGTCTGGAGAGTTAGATGTAAGGGGTGATGTGGTTGCAAAAATTGCTGGACAGCCATCACTGGGTTATCCTGATTGTGTAGCATGGTGCAGAATACTGTTGCAAGACATAGGGTTTTCCAGCAGCCACCCTCTTGACCAGGGTAGCATTACCTCCTAAAGGCATTTGATGTAGGACTCTGTGTTGAGTATGTTGCCCTGTGGAAAGATGAAGGGATTCGTAATGTCGGCAACACTAGTAATCCCTCCAAACATTATGATGTTGATGGGATATATCATCCAACTCTTTCTGAATCCTCTGCACTGTCCTAAGATTAACACCTGAACACAAAATGTTCATATTGGATCTTCCAGCATGAATGCCAAGCAGTACAGCATGTCATTTCCAAATTTCTAGTGGCGTTGAATAGGGTCATGGTCTTCTTTATCATACAGATATCATCATCATCCTGCAGCCTCAGCCAAGATTGAACTCACCAATACTTTGATTGGTGTAGTTCATAATCTTGTCAAATAGGTGAATTCTTGATGCTTCGCTAGGGCTATCAAGGGTGTTTTTTTATCGTGACACCATCACTAAATGGATTGCCAACCAAGGCTCAGAGAGACTCCATTCACCCTCCGCAGGTTTTTGAATTCAGAGTTTTCCTTCTCCTAGACCAGTTGCCATCCAAGGCTATAGAACCCAGTCTGTCCTGCTATTTACCCATAACTGGAGGGAGAAGAAAGAGGATTCACACCTTTCCCAAGAGTGTTAGCACGTAAGTGAATGCAATGGATTCGACTGGAATTTGAACTCGGCTCTCCGATTCCTCAATCCAAGCCGTTATCCATTACTCCACCGTGCCTCCTAATATATAGCTGACCCTACTATACTGTTTTAGTTGACAAAATAAAAAAAAAAACAACATATATGCAAAAATTAAAAAAAAATAAAAATGGTAACAATTTACCCACCACATCTTGTAGACAAAATGTACAGGCCTTGATCAATCTCCTATGAATGAATTAGATGGATTTTAAATTGATCAGAAAAATTAGATAGATATAGAAAGACCCATTCATGATAGATAGATAGATAGATAGATAATAGAATAGATAGATATAGACAGAAAAAACAAATGAATAGATAGATCTCAACAGACTAAGATAATAAGAATAGATTGGAATTAGATAGATGTATATAATATATTGACTGAGATAGAACAGACAATTAACAACAAATGAGATAGATATGATATACTGAACAGACATGAGATAGATAGATGATTTTTGTTGATACATTCATGAACAGAATTGATAAATGACATTTGAACATCACTAATATAGAGAAAGATAGATAGATAGAAAATAATATTAAAACAGAAAAATAGATTTTATCAGACTAATTTATAACAGACTGAGATATTGATAGATAGATTATGAACAGTAGATAGATATAATATGAATGAACAGACTGAGATTTAGATAGATAGATATTTCATATGAACAGACTGAGATAGATACATATGAACAGACTAGGTATATTATAGATGTGAACAGACTTTTGTAGATAGATAGATAACAGATGTCAAGATAGATCCTTTATGAATAGACTGATTATTAACATGATGAGATTGAATATGAACAGACTGATAGGTAGATGAACATGAACAGACTGAGGTAGATAGATATGAACAGACTGAGGTTTTGGATAAAAATTAAGGTTTTCATAATATAGATTTTCAACATTGTTAAGATAGATAGGGAAAGATAGATAGGGAAGAGACTGAGATAGATGTGACCATAATGCGATAGATATGAACAGACTTTGACAAAAAGATAGGAACTTACAGAAATAGATATGAATAAAAAATATTAAACGATTCATATTTTTCCTGATTTTCTGCTTCTACAAAGGTACAGAGTGTCAACTCTGTAAGAATATTGTGTTCTACTAATCTTTCAAGTGAAGAAAATTTGCCTGCCTTGCAAATAAGCATTTAAGATCTTATCCCTTTTCTGAATTTCAATACCAGAAAGAAAATATCTCTCAGGTGCCAAATAAATGCTTTTCCATATAATCAGGTTCACCTATTCCGTATGCGTATATATAAACTAAAGGCCCCAGATTAATATATATAGAGAGAGTTGCTGAAAAGTTCTTAGCCTAACCCAAAAGATTTTTAAATATATATATATATATATATATATATATCTGACATTGATTAAATTTTGGGAAGTTGGGAAGCAATTTTCAACCTTTGCATCGTCCTTTAGACAATGTTGAATATTTTCTTTTTGCCGCCAGTTGCGAACATGGCCATTACATTTCAGGATTCAGTGTTTCAAAAATGAAAATATGTCATGAGATATACATATCAATCATCTTAGGAATATGGAAAGATGCTTTTCTTGGATGGCTGCTGGATAGGCATTTCTTTTTTTTTTTTTGGTTATCAACCCAAAGGTAAGCAATCGAGAATGCATTTGGAAGAACACAGGTGATAAAAATGGAACTTTGAAAAGAATAAGAAAAACTTAAAAATGGTTGAAGGAAAAGTGAAATGAAGTTAATGCCAAGGAAGGAAAACCGAGTAACTGAAATAGAAAATGAAAAAGAAAGTGTCTGAAAAACAGAGAGAGCTCAAAGAAAAGGAAGGTTTGAAGAAAGAGAGAAAGGAAAAGGAAGAGAAAGGAGAAATATAGAGGAAAAGAAA